AATATTATTGGGTGAGAGTTAAGCCCCTCATATCTGTGTTTTTCATCTAGTGATGAATTTTGTGATAGGTGTGATTCATTTGTGAATATTGTATTGTTTTAGAATTTATGACATGTGTTTTGTATTTAGGAGTTGTTTCATTTTCATGTTGTCGTTGTAGGATTGTGGTAAATATTTACTTTACATGTGCGTTTTTAATTTGAACCATACATTTTATTTATGTTTTCAAAACCTGTTGATTAGTGATTCTTGGATTACCGTCTTTTGTTTCTTTAAGTTATTTGACTTTGTTTTAGGACAAACAATGTTTTAAGTTGGGGAGAGTTTGATGAGTGCTAAATTATTGTAAATTTGAGTGTGAATAATTAGCATTCATCGGCTTAATTCATTTGCTTTTTGTCAATAAACCTCAACTTTAGTATAAATTTGGTATAGTTTATGTTATAGTGTATATATTGGTTATCGTGTAAATATCATTTAGTTTAATTGTTTTTATCTTATTTTTGTATGTATTCAAGCATTGGTATTTATTCATTGTATTATAGATTATTGAATAAGTTTTTCAATGCTTCCAATCGTGCGTCAATCAGAATTGTGGTTCAAAAGTTATGATGAAAACAAACCTGTCAGTACAGCAGACCGCGCTAAGCGGCAGTACTGCGCTAAACGCGCCATGGGAGCACCATAAGTTGTGCTTTTGACATTTTTGACCGCATTAAGCGTGCCCTGCTGCGACAGTAACTCTATTTTAGTGATTTTTCACACTTTTTGGGTCATTCCATCATCTTTCTTCATGGTGGCAACCTAGAGGAAGCTGAGAAACATTTTGGAGAGAGAGAAGTGCTACAGACAACATAGAAGCTGATTCTTGCAGATTGGAGTCGGATCTGAGTTACCCGGTGGGACACCTCGGTTGATTCTTCTCCCTATTCACTTTCCCCTCGTCGTGGTTAGAGACTATGAGTGGTTAGGATTTCTTATTTATTGATTTTGGTTGTAATAACTTGTGCTCATATGTATTTACTCTGATTCTATTGTATGTGAACCGATTGATTATTTGATTTTGTTGACTTCATTTATGTTTATGTAAAACCTAGGTTTTGGGAATCTTTTGACAAACCCTTTGACAAACCCATTTCAAAACCTATGATCCAATATTTTTCGACTATCGAATACCATACTCTGGACATGGAGGTGGGATTTGATATTCATTTGTATCTGATTGTTAATGTTACCGTAAAACTTGGTTGGACACGATCAAGTTAGTTACAGTAAACTCCTCTTCATTTGGTTAGACACGATCGATGTCGAAGAGGGATTTGTGATAATAGCGAATGATTGAGAAGTTCACACGTGATATATCAGTTTGATATGTATGTTGTATATTTGTGTTTATTGGTCACGATGTTAGACACAATCTATTTAGGAATCGATATCGATGCTTTAGCATTTGTTAGGTCCTGAACGCTAGACATAACTTTAGGCTTAATGTTCACTTTTGTATTTATTCTTAATGCTACCATATTGCTTTGGATACGAACGATATGGTTAAAACCTCGTTGGCGTTTGGACACGAACGCCAACGTGAGCGATACGTGATGATATTGAGGAATAAATAGACTGTGTATAACTGATCGATATAAGGCATATTTTCGAGTTATGAAAACCAATCCTAGCATGTTCTCTCCCCTCTCCAAGATCTTTAATTTTTCCTTGTTTATTTCTTTTTCCCTTCGCTTTAAATATACTTTTACAAACAGCTTAGAAACGTAGTAACGATTGAATGACATCGATAACACTAATCCTTGTGGAGACGATAAAAGATACTTACTCACGTTTTTTCTTGAGAGTCGCTTTACTGTAGCTGTCAACAATATTCACACTAGCAGAAAAAAGTGTCAGATGAGTCCAAGGTATTAAACAAGGCTCAAAACATCAAGCGATCGTCAAAGTATCGAATAAAAACTCCTGCATCAAATGAAAAGTATAATAAACAGGCAAAAGCGAAGATAATGGAGAAACAAGTCAAAGCCTCAAATAAAATAAGAAAAACCAGTCAGGATAAATGTTCAAGAATATGCAAAGAAATAACAAGTAATTTATGCAGTGGTTAAGTAAGATTAGTTCTAAAAGCTAAAGAAAAAGAATTTTTTTTGGATCATTTTAAGTATCTCATGAATAAAGAAATCAAGAGTACCTTTTATTGGTCTGATATAAATGCATAGGACCTCTGATTATAACCATCTAAATCATGAAAAAGAAGGTCCAAAAACCATTGCCATGAGTCCTTTGTTTCAGCTTCTACTACAACATATGATATTGGAAAAATCTGGTTATTACCATTCCTCCCTACTGCTGCCATTAACTGTCCACCATAATCTCATTTTAGAAAGCATGCATCTAAATCAATCAGTGGCCTACATGTTTGTGCAAAAGATGCCTTGCAAGCCTCTAAATAAATATAAATCCTTTCAAACACATGGAACCCATTATTATCAGCACACTGTATTACAACAATACTATTGAGATTGAATTTCAATACCTCTTGTCCATAAGATCTCAAATGAGAGAATTGCTCAACACCATCCCCTTGAACCAACTCCATTGCTTTCCTCTTGGCTCTATATGCTTCACAAGATATTTTAACTCCCCATCTCTCAATAGCTTCAACTATAAGGCCTGCAAGTTTCATTTGGGGACTATGTCTAAGAGTTGTGGAAAATCTTTTGACAAATCACTTTGTCTTTGCACTCCTGTTGGTAGCAGTCCTATGGCATGTATGCTCATCAATCAAACTCACTACTTGTCAAAACTGGTGATCAATTCTCTTACTGAACCTCATGTAGAACTTACAGCCATCAGTGCATTTCACCACAACCCATTTGGAATAATTTTTTTAGAATGTATACATTCTTTTGATTTTCTATACCATAGTCCTTCACTACATCCTTAATCACGTCTTTGTTAATAAACATCATCCCTATTTGAAATTTCATCCACTCACCTAATTTATAAGTAGGATACTTCATCCTCTCCTCATCTTCATCATCACTCCCAAGGGATGTGTATAAATGGTCAGAGTCCTCACTTTTCTCATGCACCAACTCAGTCTGAACTTATTGATTTTGGGAGCTAGAAACTTCACCTAATGTCTCTTGGGGAAGAACCATTGTCCAGTTCATCTCACTCACATCAGATTCTTCACTAAATTAGAACTCACTATCCTCAAAACTACTCTCATTTGCAACATAATCCTCATCAATGTTATCTTCTTCAACATCATTACCTAATCCAACCTCAACATTCTTAGCAATGTTAGCATCACCAATGTTATCTTCTTCAATATCATTACCTACTCCAGCCTCAATGTTAGCATAATCACTATTTGTATTTTTGAGACCAGTGCATTGCACGTCATCATCATCCTCAATGATAGCATATAACTCACTCTCATCAACAATTTTAGAAATTTCCACTTGAGACTCCACATATATGTCAACTACATCATATTCTACCACATCTTTTGAGAATTGCAGAACATCTGAATCATTGTTCAATGGTGTAAGACCACAAGCGAAATTATATGCAGGGTTCCAATATCACATGCACTTAATATTTGCATAACCCTCACTCTTAATCATATCTTCAATTTCCATGTATGACATGTAGTCTACATCCCAAGCGCATTCCATCTCAGTAACTTGTCCATTGACATACCACTTAACAGGTTGATGAACTAATTTTCCCCTATGGTGTATCCTCAACCTAACTTTAGTAGTCTTAGCAGGTCTGATAAATATTCAACAAAAACAAATTCAAATTAACGCAAACAACACAAACAAACACGGAACCACATCAATGCATAAACAACACTCATCAATCGGAACCACACACAAATAAACACACCAAACGCAAAAGAGAGCCACTGGTAATAGCAAAGGAGATAGAAAAATATACCTCACACAATACTTTACATTATCGGTATCTTCGTTGGATCACGTTTCAGTTCACAAAGGTAACTTCTAAACTTGAAGGTGAAGGTGAGCGGAAACGAAGATTAGGGCACAGAGGCGAATGAAATGAGATTAGGGTTTTTTATAAAGCTGGAACGATTTTAATTTTAATACAATTAAAATAATGTTGTTTTCAATTAATAACATGGTTTTAATCAAACTATTGAATTAATTTATAAAATATATAATAATAGTGACATGGATTGAGTGTTATAATGTCACTTCATTAAAATATACGACACATCATCTAAAATAGATGTGGAGACATACTAAATAAAGGGATAAAATTCGCTAATTTTTTAATAGGAAAACTACTTCTTTAAAAACTCCAAATTAGGAGGACAAAAAATACATTTAAGCCTTCGTTTTAATTTGATCACGCCCTTTTCATTGTCTGTGTATGAGGTTTGAGATGACGCAGGTTCTACCATAAGCCACCTGTTACTTAGAGTCTTGAAGTTAATTTGAAATCATCTTAGCTTTCTCTGTTATTTATGAGTTACTGGTTGTTGAAATTATGCACTCGGCTTCAACATTACAACATATATAACACTTTGCATTTAAATGTAATAGTAGTATGGCAATTACACTGTTAAATTGACATAATATATTCATAGTGGTGAAGAATGTTTCCACATCTCCTCACATTTTTCAGCATGACATCAAGGAATTGGTTTGTTCCAATAGCTCTCTTCACCGTAATGAATAGTACTAAGCATGGATATTTAATCTGCTGCTACAAAATTGCAATTGAGTTCACAAACCTGCAAAATTCCACATTTCAGTGAAATTAAAACCATAAGATCATCTTAAACCAATATTCTAACTTGGACTTTCACCCTGCTTTTGATTTAATTGTATGAGATGAATCCTAACGATTATTAAACTATACATACAGTTACGTGATGCAGCTGAAACTAGTACATTGAAAGATAGCTTATGTTAGCTAGAAACAGGAAACTGTTATTACCATGTTGAATTAAAGCTCTATCCAAGGTAGCGAAGCAAGACTCCATCATTTCCCAATACAAATCCCTTCTTGTCATCAATGAACCTGCAGCAAGTAGATCATTTACAAGATTTTATCATAAAAGTTTTACAAACTCTAACCTTCATACTCCTGTGAACTTTATGTTGTGGAAAATTTTTCATCCCGTGCTAACAACATAACAGGTAAATGCTATGTTCTACAAAATATCATCGGTTGGTTCTTTTTGCATCTTTTGAGAATAGGAAAGGAGTGTCGCAAAATATAAGTGGAGGATATATCAACACGAGTAACTTGGTTTGGTTGGGGCGTGAACTCTACCTAGTAAATTAGTGATTTCTAAGTGTACACTCATGATTAAGAATAATTATATAAAACTGGAGTCTAGTAATAGTTGTACTCACTTTACTGCGTATAAGTTTGCAGCAATGTTGTCAGCAGCTTTGTCACGGATCCATGACTTGCCACCGTTATTAGTTCTCAAGAGAACACCGCTCCCACCTGCTGCCCAAGCCTCATCCTGTATTTGTAATTTTGCAAATTTTATATATAAAGAAAATGTTTTCAACATTATCCACAAAACTTGAAACTTATAATATTGAAGGAACTGCAGAGGAAATAGTCATGTTGCGAATGCTTAATTTATCTTCAGACAGACGCAAGCAAGAATTTATTAATTCAACAAAGCAGCAGCGTAATTTGGCAAAATGAAATCGTTAGGAATGCAGTAAAACATTACCGTTGAACGATACCCAACATCAAGAATGCCAAATCCCCGGCTTTGAACAGGAACTTCCTCAAATTCTTCGGTTATCTGTAACAATAAAATACCTTTCTTTGACAAAACTAATAGTGAATAAAAGACGTAAGAAAAAATTATCCAGAAAGACTTGAAATGAGCGAAAAGGAAGACCACATAAGAAAAAGAAGATTATCCAAAAGAAAAGGAGTGAAAAGGAAGACTGCTAGTATCATATTGGTACACTAGAATGAAATTCTCAGTATTAACTACCCCTGTGCCCTTGCTGAGATAAAGACCACCTCCACGGACAAGAAGCCACAGACCTCCATCAGCTCTCCATCCCATGTTTTGGATTCTCCTAGCAACTGCTCTGTTATGTGGCTGCCAGTACGCCTGAAAAATAAATAAACATGTAGTTAAGCAGTATTACTATTATTGAAGAAGAAATATCAACCAAAAACATCTGTGGCTAAATGAAAAACTCATAATCTACACAAAGCGAATATTTGGACACTAAGACAAATATTACAACAAGGACAGGCTAATGCATTATGATGCATTGAGGAAGAAAGTGCAAATTTCAACAGTGCAAAAAGGAAAAGAGAGGATCTCTTATATTTTCTTCTGTTGGTAGATTTGTTTTCTCCAGGAGGTCTATCCTATGACATCATTTGGGTGAAAACAAACAAAAGAAGAAACATAAATGTTTTGTTAAAGTGGTGGGTGTACAGGAAAATTCTTGGATCTGCATTGTGCTAAAGTTTAGTTCATCTTGGGTCCTTATCAAAGAAGATTCAGTGTTAATACTCCCAAGAATTTTTTTAACGCATCAAACTATTATGTTTCATTTTAAAACAATGATGTAATGGAATACTTGTACATTTAAATAGACCACAGTTACAATATTAGTAACAACTTAGTTATAGGAATTGCTGCTACAGATTTCCATATTGATGAGTTAAATTTAGTTAAATGCTTAAGAAAAATCGAAACTCCAGGACAAGCATGCTAAAAGTAAAGCTACCAAGCAAATATAAGAAAAAGCCGTTGTTGAAGTAAAAGCCTCACCTGTCCAGGCTCCCAGGTCAAGTAGAAGTTGCCACGACTTGAGACTGCAACATACCTTCCATCGGGAGATCGATTGACAGTATTGAAAGTTCCAGTGTAATAACTTGCACCACTAATACCACTAGAAACTGTTCTGAAGAGGCAACATAGCTAGATAAATGTCTTGATATATAAAACCAAAATACAATATTTGCAGTATTGAAAAATGTGAAAGACGGAGCATCTAAGGAGATCTTGTAACATATAGATAAGAAGTTGAATTTGTTCAATAATAGCATCATAGAAATCATCCAATTTCCAAATGTATTGACGCTGGACTTTCCATATTTCTAATCTCCAGCATAGAATAGAGTTTTCTCCAATCGACTTAGTTCACTTCCTAATTTGAAAGAGTTGCATTACTTAAGTAGCACTTTGCATTCATCCATACACATAAATTTTACATTCTCAGACAGTTACATCAAATGAAGTTTGGCTTTTAGTTTCTCGGAAACTCACCTATTAAGCGTAGCCGACACTGATTCCTGAACAGCAGCCTTCCAATTGTATCCTCTATTTGCGGTAACATATATTGCACCTTCATCAGTCACCATCTCCGCACCCTTGTCAGCGGTTGCCTTTATGTATACCTACATATTTAACAACTTATGTGAGCACTCGATTTATGCGATTAGTGTTTAGATTTATGAATCTGAAAGCAAGTTTGATGCATGTATACCATATCGCCTGGAAGCTCAGCACTGAGTGGTATCCTTTCCCAACTTTCTCCAGCATCAGAAGTGTAGAGCAGAATTGCAGGTTTTCCCACTATCCATCCTTCTTTCCCTTTGAAGCTGATAGAATTAAACCTATAGTTAAAATCTTCATCTTCTGCAGATGGTATAGATCGCGGAGCCCAAGTGTTTCCTCCATCTTTAGTCTCCAAAAGGGTTTGCCTCGTCCCCAGAAGGAAACCTACCACACCAACACCGCTTCCATTTTACAATACAAATTCACAAACGTGATTTTGAAAAGATCAAATTATGTAAAATTTAAGTTGGTTAGGCTTAATTGCAATTTTGTTCTCTCTATATAATTGTTTTTTTAGTTTTCTTTTGAGTTTTCTTTTTTAGTTCTCTATATAATTGAGATTGCCATATAAGAATTTAAGTATAAACTATTTCTATAACAAAGTCAAACTATTATTATATGTGCATGTTTGGATTGGCTTCTACGAGTTTTAAAATCAATTCTAAAAAAGTAGAATTGATTCTGGGTGATTTTGAGGTGTTTAATATATTAAAAGTAGAATTGATTATGTCTTCAGAATTGATTCTTCTTGAAGCTAGAATTTGTAGCTTCTGCCTCTAGAATTGATTCTGGGTGATTTTTACACTGAAATTTATTGTTCAACTCATTTTTATATAAATGTATCCAAACATAAATCAATTCTACCAAACTCAATTCTGTTAAAATCAATTCTACCAAACTCAATTGTGTTAGAATCAAATTTGTTCACCGACAATCCAAACACACCCTAAATTATCCAAAATAACTTATGAAAGTAAGTTTAAAAAAACTTATAGAAATGTCATGTTGTTTCCATAAGCTGTTCCCAAACACTATGGTAGGAGATAAACTAACTCAGTCACAATACATGCAAAATCAATATTAAGCAACAATAATCAAACTCATAATGCATTTAAACAAAAATCAGTTTCAAATGAAAAATCAACTCTGAAGTTAAACCAAACACAAAAAAAGTAAAAGAATGAAACAACCATTACCATGGTTAGGGTCTTCCGGAACAAAAGCAATATCCAGAAGCACAACACCAGGATCGATAGGTAGATAAACTCTTTCCCACTCAGAAAGAGTTTCTTCAGCTTTCACCAACTGAGAAGGTACTAACACCGATATAGCCGTGGTTTCCGCGATGAACTGTCTTCTGGTTCTGGAGAGTTCGGAAGAAGCTTTGACGACGAAACTTCGAGTTCGAGAATGAATAGATTTAGAAGGTAATTGAGATAACGACGGTTTGTATAGAGTAGCTGAATCGGTGAATGTGAATTGCAGAGTCGCCATTGGAATGAACTCGCTTTGTGTTCCTATGTATTTGTGTGTGTGTATATCTATCTGCCTTATCCTGAATCACAATAACGGTTTCGCGGGTGATTTCGCTTCATCAGATTGTGTGGATCATAAACTTCCAACATTTTCTATTTTTTAACCTTTTTTTATTTTTTTATTTTTAATTAAATATTTTACCATAAATATTTTTTCTTAAAGAAAATCTCTTTTGCAAACGCACCTAATACACCAGCCTTAAAAATAACCAATCAAAAAATTATAAATAATAAATTTGACAATAAACAAGTAGATAAATAAAACAACAAGGGTTTCTATGATAATTTTTTATTTAATTTTTTAATGTTGAAGGGTAGAAGAGGTTTGTCATTCTAAGATTGGAAGTGAGTTCATGCTAAGGAGATGCAGTTTTGTATGAGAAGCAACTATATGAGACTTATTTTCTTGAATCTTTTGTCAAACAATGTGGCAATTTAAGTCAAGATGTTTAGTGGATTCATAGGAAACAAAATTCATAGTAATGTGCAACGCACTCTAATTGTCACAATAAAAAATGAGTTTTTGAACTAAAGATAATTTTAAATCACAGAGCGACTAAGAGATCTATTTAAGATCTCTCCTTCAAGTAACTATTTTGATTGATAAAGAAATATAAAATAGAGCGACGAATATCCATACAACCATCCCCAATTCACATATGAGAATCCTAATACATGAATATTGGATATACAAGAAAACTAAGGGCAGTATTGTGAATATCAATAGGCTTGACCTTGGATGGATCTCAATCAAGCAAGGGATCCAACTTTTGGACAGAATAATCCTCACACTCTCATGACACTCATGGATCAGCACCATCAAAGTGTAGCAAGAAAGGATTAAAAGAAGAAATGAAACTTGGACGAAGGGTTGGAAGATGGAGGCTTGAAAATAAAAGGACTCGAAACTAGTAAAAAAAGAAGGAAAGCGGAGACAAAATACCGTTTGAAGAATTATAGTGTGTTTGGATAAGGTAATTAAGAATTTTTGAGTAATTCAAAATTCTAAACAATTTAAATGATTCAATTGAAATTTTGAAATTTTTTTTGTTTGGGTGGAGTATTAAAATAATTCATTGTTAAATTTTTAGGATCATTTTCATAAATTTTCAAATTTTTGGACCAAATTTAAAATATGAAAAATAGACTAATTTGCAATTTTTGCAAATTTCAAGGGACCAATTTGTAAAATCTGTAATTTATTTAGAGACTTATTTGTGATTTTTTTGAAAATTTTAGGGGTAAATTTGTAATTTTCATAAAATATAAGGGCCACTTTGCAAATTTTGAAAAAAATAATAATAAACAATTTAACATTCAAATCATGGAGCAATCTCAAATTCTTTTTTTTTTGTCATTTGAAATTCCTTAAATTTGACTCGAATAAAATGCTTCATAAATTTACATCACTTTAACAATTCTCCTAATTTTTTATCCATACAATGGATTTTAATCAAATCATTTTAATTTCCTTCAAAAATTATTTTCCCTCAGTAAAATGCTTCATCTAAACACACTCTTAAAGATTGTACAAGGTGAAAAATCTCTATTCAAGCTTGCACGTTAGGACACCAAAAGTCTCCTAGGCGAAAACCCAAAGGCCTGGTAATAAAAGGCAATAGCAATGATAATTTATAATTGATCTGACCTGATCAGACTTGGACCGTCACGGCTGGCTCCGAGCTGAAAGCTTTTTGAACGAGGTGGGGGGGGGGGTACCTGCAAGACACTCCGATGCTGAAGTAAGTAGAAGCACGAGCAGGCAATAGTAAGTATGTGTAGAATGATGAATACCTGACCCTCTGGAAACAGAGGGTATTTATAGCCCCCAGCGCTGGGCCAAGGTTCCTCCCTTGGGCCGGGCAGGTTTGGCCTAATGGAGGAACTGCCAGGTTCTACGTGCGTAGTGGGGACCCGCACGTGGTCCCCTTCCTGGATGTTCTGCGTGAAGTGCGGGCGGACGGAGACGCGGTCTTTTCGGGGTCTCGTTGGGAGTACAGTGGACTGAGTCTGCCCTAGTTGGGGTGCTCGAGGTGATGTCGAGCTGGACAGCAGGATGTCGAGCTGGGGATGTAGAGGTCGAGCAAGTAACCTCAGGGAGCACATCGGGCACGACTGTGACCCTTTGGTCAGCGTGGTCCTCAGCAAGTCCATTTGGATTGGGCCTTAGTAATGCTATTGGGCCTGTCGGGCCCAGTCCAGAACAGGAGCCCCCCAAGTCGTGGTTCCTTTGTTAGGAGCCATGGCTTGATCTCAGGTCGTTTCCGCTTCGGGGTCTCGTGCCCGGGTCAGAGATGCATGTCCTCGAGGGCCTCTCCGTGTCGTGCTCGAAGACAAATCTTTCGTGGTGGATGCTCGGAGGATCCTCACCGGCGCGTGTCTGTCGAGCACACGAGGTATCTTTCGGGAGCTGTGCCGCCACCCTATGATGATAGGGTCATCATTGCGTTGGGAGCAGTGCGTCGAGGAGAGAAGCTCCGTGGTTGCCCGAGGTGACGTTTGGTATTCCACGTCACCACTATAAATAGAATCCTTGGGCCCCATAACTCGTTTCTACTCTTTGCGTTCCTACTGCTGCTGTTTTTCCAGATTTTTCATAGCTGCGATCTCCGTTACAGATTCTTTTCCTCCGTAGCCGAATCCACTTCTTGATCCAAGTAAGTGACTTATCTTCTTTATTTTCCTATTGTAATGCATGATTTTCAGCGTTTTAGACGTTTCTAGGGACTGTACGCGTGGGACTAGCCCGGTAAACTCATGTTTAGCTCGACATATTCATGCTTAGGACCGACAAACACATGCTCGTGGCCGGTAGATACATAGTTTAGGTAGTAATCTGCAGCGCTGCCCGGGGTCTTCATGATCCAGGGCGCCTGATTCATGATCGTTCCCGGTATGTTCATGGTTCTGGCCGTAGGTTGCATGATGTTGCTCGCCATGTTCATACCTTGGGTCGGCATGTTGGAGAGTGGTTGCGTTGTCGGTTTGCTCAGGCGGTTTGGAGAAGGGCCCATCGAGTTATCTGGACGTCGGGGAGGCGACTGCTTTCTTGTTGCAAACTAACTTTTGTGGTCGTGCATGGAACGACGTGGTTTGTCGTACACTACATCTGGTCCGTTACGTCGAGCGTATGGTTTCATGCCCAATTGACTGGTTTCCCGTGCTCTGCAGGTAACCATGGCGCACGAGCCGTGCTCCTCTGGACGCCACGAACATGAGGAACAAAGTGCCGATGAGGCGGTGAGCTTGGTTGATACTGTCGACGACCCTTTGTTGGATTGGGTGGGCGCCGAGCCCCGAGGAATCGCGTCGATATATAGCCGGCGTGACCGAAAGCCATATGCTGTCCTCGAAGCGGGCCAGGGCCAGCCTGATTTCCAAAAGAATTTCGTTGTCACGCGGCTGACCTCCCGTGCCCGGATCTGCTCGGTGTACCCAGAGTATAGCTTCCCGATGTACGAGATTGCGTTCAAAGATCTTGGGCTGCAGCTGCCCTTCAGTGACTTTCAGACCGGGGTCTTCGCCCATCTGGAGTTGGCCCCGTCGCAGCTACACCCGAACTCACTGGCCTTTATCCGGGCGTTTGAGCTGACATGTCGCTTTCTGAGGATTGGGGCGATGATACCTCTCTTCTTCAGAATTTTTCATCTGCAGCGCCAGTCCCGAGGAGGGAAACACAGCTGGGTCTCCTTAAAACAGTCGAGGAGACTATTCAAGATGTACATGGACTCCGTAAGGGGTTTTAAAGACAAGTGGTACGTCGTGAGGCCAGTTACCACGTCTGCTTTAGGATCCCTGTACGAGGAGGAGGCGCCCATAAGCGATGATGACGGGGAGGCGGTCTTAGACAACGATGGGTATCCCGTGATGGCACGCACAACCAAGTTCCCTGTGCATTGGATGTTCAGGCATTACGAGCACGGGACTGGATACTATCATACCGCTGCGGGCGACATGTGTCCGGAGGACGAGGAGGCGTACGCCACTCTTTGTCGGTTCGTCGACAACTTCCACCCTGCCCGGTGGGCCACGAGGGAAGGGGAAGATGTCTTGGATGCAGAGGGTTATCTGACATTTGAGTCCCGTCCGATTGATACTAAGGCACTCGTGGAGTGTCAGACGTTCAGACAGGCTGCTCGTCTGCTAGGTCGTTTATTGCTTGAATTTCTTTGCTCGTCATTTATTTATGAACTTGCTCGATACTAACCCATCTTTTATTTTGTACAGGTTCGATGGCCGGTCGACGAGAAAGACTCTTGAAGTTGTCTTGCGACCAGAAGCGGGGTAGGAGGGTCGTGAAGGCTCCCCAGGCAACGAGGATGGGCCTGCCACATAGTCCGGGCGCTCCTCAGGTGGTGAGGGTGGATTCGTCGCCCAGCTCGGGGGCCGCGTCGGACGAGATCCCAGAGGTTCAAGAGGTCGATCCTAATGCCGACCTGATACAAAGAAAGAGGACTCGGGTGGAAAGCGGCCCGGCTGTCAGCGAGGACACCAGCACCGTCAGATCTTTCGGGTTCCCCCTTGCTTCAAAGAGGAGGGTTTCTTCGAGAGATTCCCTCTGTCCGTGGTTGCCGACGAGGCTGAGACTATCAAGAGGATGAGTAAGGAGGATCGGAAGAGGCATCTGGCCGCCAGCATGGACGGGCTGGTGAAAATGGCCGAAATGGCCCTGGTGTTGTCCGAGGAAGGGGGGGATGCTGTCCGTATTGAAGAACTTGAGCAGGAGAAAGCGGCTCTCACCTCGAGCTCGCGGAAGTTAAGGACTGCCCTGGAACGCTCCGAGGAGATGTTCCGCGAGCAGGCATCGCTGCTGGCCGCTGAGAGAGAGAGATGTTGCTCCTGGAGAAAGAAAATTCGGGGAAGCTAGCCGAGGAGGGAGAGCTTCTCCGCGCGGACAGGGATCGTCTGGAGACCGACATCGGGCGCCTGACCCAACAGATCGAGGACATGAAAGTCGCC